GTAGTGGTTGGAGATGGAGTTGGCATTTCTTTTGGAGTCGGCATTGTTGAGGATTGCACCATATCTCGGATTTTCTTCAAGTGGTCAGTGAAGGGCACAATAGCGTCAGACGGCACCATTTGTAAAGGGGGAACAATGATAGGCGATTCTGGTGGGTTGGGTTTGTCAGCGACAGTAGCGGCAGTGGGTGGTGGTTGCATCGGCGACGGCGACGGCGGGGTAGACGAGGAGTCTTCATCGACGAGAAGGGTTGAAGTCTCACCCTTTCGTTTCTTTGACACCGGGACTCGCTTACCTTTCCTCGGCGGTTGTCTTCGCGATGAGACGGGTGGTCGTACGGCAGTAGCAGCGGTGGCGACAGGCGGAGTCTGGCTAGGCGGTTGCTTCGGCGGTGGTGCGGCTGTATGCGTCGGAGACGGGTCACGCACGGTTGCTCGTTTCACTCTTTCCATTGTGATCGTTGGAGAAGGTGGTGTAGGGGGCGGTTATTGATCGACCGGTTTGCGGATAAATGGGAGGGAAAAGAGAGGGTAGAAGAGGGTTTTCTCAAAATGAAGTGGGTTTTGGATGGGAAAGATGGTGAGGGTTTGTGATGTCATCCTTGGTAACATGCAAGGGGTAAGGTAGTACTTGAGTGTTAAGGCTTTAGATGCTTTTCTCTTCAAATCAACCAGTAGTCTTTCAAACACAAAATGTCTAATATTTAATTAATTTTTGACCATTGATGTTTGAGGGGTTGGTTAATAYAGTCTAATCATCTGCCACCTATGTACTTTTCTACTTACACCATGTACACATATTTGCTGGCAATAAAATGAAATGTCAATTCTTTTAAAAATAAATTTTTAAGAATGACATCTTGTATTTTTGCTTCCAAAACCTCCAGCTTTTAAAATTTTAAAAAGATTGTTCAAGAAGGGCTAGGGTTTTCAGATGCTGCAGCAAGGCTTCAGATTCTTTTTGAAGATTGACAAAACTGCAAAACACACAAAAATAAACACCAATATTATTACAGATATTAATGATTATGAAATAGAAATAAATATTTACAAACACAAATTTTTGGACTTATAAAAAGTCCGAAAATATTGAAGCTTTTAGCAAAGGGTAACAAAATTCACARAGCATAACTCTGGAATTTCTACCGGATCATGAAATAACTTCACTCTTTGACCGTTAACTTTGAACACAGAATTGTCCTCGGGATTGATTAGGTCAACTGCTCC